CCCGTTGGACACGTCCAAATTGTAGTTGCTTATAATGTCTTCCGCTATGGTAAGTTTGAACCGCTTTGACAGCGGTTCGCTTCAAATAATTTTTGATATTTTCTTTGTCTGCAAATAGAAATAAAAAAATAAAAATAAGGAAATGCAAAAAAAGTCGGTCTTGCTCGATACTTACGTATAAACCGATATGCTCCGGGGTAAAGGAATTTTCGAATTCATCCAATTCTTCTTCCGTTTTTAACGGAAATGGTACCACGCCCGAAAAATCCTTGTCAGGAGCAAACGACACCTTTAAAATGGCGGTGGTTTCCGCCAGTTTGTCCGCCAAAATGTCAATCTTTGCATTACGACAGAGATTTCCCTGCGGATCTGGAGAACCTCTTCTGAATTTGTAATTAATATATACTACAAAAAAATTAAGAAAAAATCAAAATAGAATGAAAACAGTAATCGCCCTGATTTTTAGAAATTTGTCGTCAATGTCGGTTTATTTTATTAATTAAGCCATAAATTTTCAAACAATACGGCCGAATACTATACTTTTTATACCCGTTACTCATAGAGTAAAAGGGTATACTAGATTCGCCGGAAAGTATGTAACAGACAGAAGGAAGCGCTTCCGACCCCACAAAGTATATATATTCTTGATCAGGATCACTAGCCGAGTCAATCTAGCCATGTCCGTCTGTCCGTCTGTCCGGATGAACGCTGAGATCTCGGAAGCTATGGGAGCTAGGCTATTGAGATTTGGCGTGCAGATTCCTAAGCTTCTTACGCAGCGCAAGTTTGTTTCAGCAGAGTGCCACGCCCAGTCTAACGCCCACAAACCGCCCAAAACTGTGGCTCCTACAGTTTTGGTGCTAGAATAAAAATTTTAACTGAAATGTATTGTTCTCATCAATACCTATCGATTGACCCAAAAAAAGTTTGCCACGCCCACTTTAACGCCCACAAACCGCGATAGCCTGTGACGCCCACAATTTTCGTGCTAGATAAAAAATTTTAACTGAAATGTATTGGTCTCGTCAATACCTATCAATTGAAAAAATTGATTGATTGAAAATTAAATCTGTATACCGCCGGTAGGTGGCGCATTTTAATCTCGCTTTGCTGCTTGCATATCTCTATTTAGCTGAGTAACGGGTATCTGATAGTCGAGGTACTCGACTATAGCGTTCTTCCTTGTTTTATTTCTTATGTATACTTATTAATTAAAATTTCTTAATTCTGAATAACTTATAATTATAGTTTTTATACAATCCTATAAGATTCCAGTTCGGCACCCACCACATAAGCTTGAAAATGCTCGCTAACATTTGAAACCTTAATTAAACATCAATTTAAGCGCATTTTAAATGTTATATGTTAAGTTAAAGTTTAATGTTTTATAGACATACTTATAAATTTTGTTTTCACGCTGGCACAGCCACTACACATACACACGCCTACGTACATACGTATGTGTGTACATACCCTTCAGTTCAAAAAAAAACTTTCACTTGTGAATCACCTTGTGAATGGCGAGGGCGGAAGTGTGAGCCGGTGCGTTGTCATGATGGAAAATCACTTTTTTCTTGTGAACCCCAAAAGACGGTTCTTCGGAGCAGGTTCGCCGGGTAAAGTCCACTGTTTCGACTGTTCCTTGGTCTCTGGTGTGTACCAGTGGATCCATGTTTCGTCGACGGTCACGAAACGACGCAGAAACTCCTTCGGATTGCGCTTAAACAGCATCAAAAACTGCTCTGAAGTGGTCTCACGGTTGCGTTTGTTGTCCGGAGTGAGCAAACGCGGCACCCATCGCGCCGACAGCTTTCTCATGCCCAAAATTGCATCCAGGATTTGACCCACGCGGTCTTTTGACATGCCTACTGTCTCAGCTATCTCGCGTATCTTCAATCGGCGGTCTGCCAATAGATCGTTGGTTTTTATCACGTTATGCTCCGTGGTAGCCGTTTTCAGGGCACCTGGCCGTGGCTCATTAAAAACCGACGTGCGACCACGTTGAAACTCGTTAAACCAATTTTTGACGGTCGCCATCGAAGGAGAAGAGTCACCGTACACAGCGTCCAAGCGCTCTTTGATTTCGCTGCGCGATTTCCCTCTCAAAAACAAGAACCGAGTCACAGACCGATATTGCTCTTTCTCCATTTTTCTTAAATCCGCGGACACGTCCGATTCCACATGCAGTCAAAACAAAACTACGGGTCCGATTCGGCTGAAATTTCGACAGTAGCCGTCTACGAAAATGTACTACACGATAGTAAATTTCTCTTGCGATAGTGACGCCATCGAGCGGTGAGGCTAAGTACTTATCGGACTGCCCTCGCATTTAATTACGTTTTATTTCATTTTAATTAGATGGTATAATTCAAATTTTCAAATAATGGACAATTATTGTTTCTGTTATTTTGTTTTGTAAGCTTATTTTTAACACTTGTCATCTCCTTTCTCAAACATTTGTCCGGGTCCTCGGAGTCCTTGGCCAACGCTCCTAAAAAAAAATGTAATGTCATATGTTTAGAAATGCGTTTTACTTGTTTATTTGAATATTTACCTTTAAGAACTTCGTATAACCCTATACGGGATCTGAGGGACTTTTTCCCGTTGGACACGTCAAAATTGTAGTTGCTTATAATGTCTTCCGCTATGGTAAGTTTGAACCGCTTTGACAGCGGTTCGCTTCAAATAATTTTTGATATTTTCTTTGTCTGCAAATAGAAATAAAAAAATAAAAATAAGGAAATGCAAAAAAAAGTCGGTCTTGCTCGATACTTACGTATAAACCGATATGCTCCGGGGTTAAGGAATTTTCGAATTCATCCAATTCTTCTTCCGTTTTTAACGGAAATGGTACCACGCCCGAAAAATCCTTGTCAGGAGCAAACGACACCTTTAAAATGGCGGTGGTTTCCGCCAGTTTGTCCGCCAAAATGTCAATCTTTGCATTACGACAGAGATTTCCCTGCGGATCTGGAGAACCTCTTCTGAATTTGTAATTTATATATACTACAAAAAAATTTAAAAAAAATCAAAATAGAATGAAAACAGTAATCGCCCTGATTTTTAGAAATTTGTCGTCAATGTCGGTTTATTTTATTAATTAAGCGATAAATTTTCAAACAATACGGCCGAATACTATACTTTTTATACCCGTTACTCGTAGAGTAAAAGGGTATACTAGATTCGCCGGAAAGTATGTAACAGACAGAAGGAAGCGCTTCCGACCCCACAAAGTATATATATTCTTGATCAGGATCACTAGCCGAGTCAATCTAGCCATGTCCGTCTGTCCGTCTGTCCGGATGAACGCTGAGATCTCGGAAGCTATGGGAGCTAGGCTATTGAGATTTGGCGTGCAGATTCCTAAGCTTCTTACGCAGCGCAAGTTTGTTTCAGCAGAGTGCCACGCCCAGTCTAACGCCCACAAACCGCCCAAAACTGTGGCTCCTACAGTTTTGGTGCTAGAATAAAAATTTTAACTGAAATGTATTGTTCTCATCAATACCTATCGATTGACCCAAAAAAAGTTTGCCACGCCCACTTTAACGCCCACAAACCGCGATAGCCTGTGACGCCCACAATTTTCGTGCTAGATAAAAAATTTTAACTGAAATGTATTGGTCTCGTCAATACCTAACAATTGAAAAAATTGATTGATTGAAAAATTTGCCACGCCCACTCTAACGCCCATAAGGCTTAAATCTGTATACCGCCGGTAGGTGGCGCATTTTAATCTCGCTTTGCTGCTTGCATATCTCTATTTAGCTGAGTAACGGGTATCTGATAGTCGAGGTACTCGACTATAGCGTTCTTCCTTGTTTTATTTCTTATGTATACTTATTAATTAAAATTTCTTAATTCTGAATAACTTATAATTATAGTTTTTATACAATCCCATAAGATTCCAGTTCGGCACCCACCACATAAGCTTGAAAATGCTCGCTAACATTTGAAACCTTAATTAAACATCAATTTAAGCGCATTTTAAATGTTATATGTTAAGTTAAAGTTTAATGTTTTATAGACATACTTATAAATTTTGTTTTCACGCTGGCACAGCCACTACACATACACACGCCTACGTACATACGTATGTGTGTACATACCCTTCAGTTCAAAAAAAAACTTTCACTTGTGAATCACCTTGTGAATGGCGAGGGCGGAAGTGTGAGCCGGTGCGTTGTCATGATGGAAAATCACTTTTTTCTTGTGAACCCCAAAAGACGGTTCTTCGGAGCAGGTTCGCCGGGTAAAGTCCACTGTTTCGACTGTTCCTTGGTCTCTGGTGTGTACCAGTGGATCCATGTTTCGTCGACGGTCACGAAACGACGCAGAAACTCCTTCGGATTGCGCTTAAACAGCATCAAAAACTGCTCTGAAGTGGTCTCACGGTTGCGTTTGTTGTCCGGAGTGAGCAAACGCGGCACCCATCGCGCCGACAGCTTTCTCATGCCCAAAATTGCATCCAGGATTTGACCCACGCGGTCTTTTGACATGCCTACTGTCTCAGCTATCTCGCGTATCTTCAATCGGCGGTCTGCCAATAGATCGTTGATTTTTATCACGTTATGCTCCGTGGTAGCCGTTTTCAGGGCACCTGGCCGTGGCTCATTAAAAACCGACGTGCGACCACGTTGAAACTCGTTAAACCAATTTTTGACGGTCGCCATCGAAGGAGAAGAGTCACCGTACACAGCGTCCAAGCGCTCTTTGATTTCGCTGCGCGATTTCCCTCTCAAAAACAAGAACCGAGTCACAGACCGATATTGCTCTTTCTCCATTTTTCTTAAATCCGCGGACACGTCCGATTCCACATGCAGTCAAAACAAAACTACGGGTCCGATTCGGCTGAAATTTCGACAGTAGCCGTCTACGAAAATGTACTACACGATAGTAAATTTCTCTTGCGATAGTGACGCCATCGAGCGGTGAGGCTAAGTACTTATCGGACTGCCCTCGCATTCAATTACGTTTTATTTCATTTTAATTAGATGGTATAATTCAAATTTTCAAATAATGGACAATTATTGTTTCTGTTATTTTGTTTTGTAAGCTTATTTTTAACACTTGTCATCTCCTTTCTCAAACATTTGTCCGGGTCCTCGGAGTCCTTGGCCAACGCTCCTAAAAAAAAATGTAATGTCATATGTTTAGAAATGCGTTTTACTTGTTTATTTGAATATTTACCTTTAAGAACTTCGTATAACCCTATACGGGATCTGAGGGACTTTTTCCCGTTGGACACGTCCAAATTGTAGTTGCTTATAATGTCTTCCGCTATGGTAAGTTTGAACCGCTTTGACAGCGGTTCGCTTCAAATAATTTTTGATATTTTCTTTGTCTGCAAATAGAAATAAAAAAATAAAAATAAGGAAATGCAAAAAAAAGTCGGTCTTGCTCGATACTTACGTATAAACCGATATGCTCCGGGGTAAAAGAATTTTCGAATTCATCCAATTCTTCTTCCGTTTTTAACGGAAATGGTACCACGCCCGAAAAATCCTTGTCAGGAGCAAACGACACCTTTAAAATGGCGGTGGTTTCCGCCAGTTTGTCCGCCAAAATGTCAATCTTTGCATTACGACAGAGATTTCCCTGCGGATCTGGAGAACCTCTTCTGAATTTGTAATTTATATATACTACAAAAAAATTTAAAAAAAATCAAAATAGAATGAAAACAGTAATCGCCCTGATTTTTAGAAATTTGTCGTCAATGTCGGTTTATTTTATTAATTAAGCGATAAATTTTCAAACAATACGGCCGAATACTATACTTTTTATACCCGTTACTCGTAGAGTAAAAGGGTATACTAGATTCGCCGGAAAGTATGTAACAGACAGAAGGAAGCGCTTCCGACCCCACAAAGTATATATATTCTTGATCAGGATCACTAGCCGAGTCAATCTAGCCATGTCCGTCTGTCCGTCTGTCCGGATGAACGCTGAGATCTCGGAAGCTATGGGAGCTAGGCTATTCAGATTTGGCGTGCAGATTCCTAAGCTTCTTACGCAGCGCAAGTTTGTTTTAGCAATGTGCCACACCCACTCTAACGCCCACAAACCGCCCAAAACTGTGGCTCCTACAGTTTTGGTGCTAGAATAAAAATTTTAACTGAAATGTATTGTTCTCATCAATACCTATCGATTGACCCAAAAAAAGTTTGCCACGCCCACTTTAACGCCCACAAACCGCGATAGCCTGTGACGCCCACAATTTTTGTGCTAGATAAAAAATTTTAACTGAAATGTATTGGTCTCGTCAATACCTATCAACTGAAAAAATTGATTGATTGAAAAATTTGCCACGCCCACTCTAACGCCCATAAGGCTTAAATCTGTATACCGCCGGTAGGTGGCGCATTTTAATCTCGCTTTGCTGCTTGCATATCTCTATTTAGCTGAGTAACGGGTATCTGATAGTCGAGGTACTCGACTATAGCGTTCTTCCTTGTTTTATTTCTTATGTATACTTATTAATTAAAGTTTCTTAATTCTGAATAACTTATAATTATAGTTTTTATACAATCCTATAAGATTCCAGTTCGGCACCCACCACATAAGCTTGAAAATGCTCGCTAACATTTGAAACCTTAATTAAACATCAATTTAAGCGCATTTTAAATGTTATATGTTAAATTAAAGTTTAATGTTATATAGACATACTTATAAATTTTGTTTTCACGCTGGCACAGCCTCTACACATACACACGCCTACGTACATACGTATGTGTGTACATACCCTTCAGTTCCAAAAAAAACTTTCACTTGTGAATCACCTTGTGAGTCCCGTGTGATATGTCCTCTTGCACAAGTGAAGAACAAGTGACACTCCATATAGACAATTGTATGGGATGTCCGCCTTTTCACAAGTGAAAATTCAAATGAAAAGTTTTCGAAGTCCCACGGGATTTCACTTGTTCCTTATATTCATTTGTCGTATGGCCTGTCACGTGCCGATGACACGTCCCACGTGAAATCACTTGTGAAATTCAAAATATTTCCAATGAGTTTTCACTTATGAAATCAATTGCATGTGACACATCCCAAGTGAAATCACTTGTAAAATTCAGAATTTTTTCCATGAGTTTTCCATTTTGAAAATATAGTATTTAAAATACATACATACGAGGGTGGTCCGATAAGTACTTAGCCTCCAAAAGAATATCGAAAATTTTGGAAAAGTGTCGATTTATTTCTCATGATAATCTCCTTTTAGCTCGATACACTTGACCCAGCGATGCTCACACTTCTTTAACACGTCTAAAAATACGTTTTCTCGAGGTCTTCAAAATAGGCCTCTGTGGCGGCGACGACCTCCTCATTCGACGCAAATTTCTGTCCAGCGAGTGACTTTTTCAAGTTTGGAAACAAAAATAAGTCACACGGGGCCAAATCTGAAGAATATGGTGGATGGGGTAGCAGTTCGTAGCCCAATTCGACCAATTTGGCCTTGGCGAGGGCGGAAGTGTGAGCCGGTGCGTTGTCATGATGGAAAATCACTTTTTTCTTGTGAACCCCAAAAGACGGTTCTTCGGAGCAGGTTCGCCGGGTAAAGTCCACTGTTTCGACTGTTCCTTGGTCTCTGGTGTGTACCAGTGGATCCATGTTTCGTCGACGGTCACGAAACGACGCAGAAACTCCTTCGGATTGCGCTTAAACAGCATCAAAAACTGCTCTGAAGTGGTCTCACGGTTGCGTTTGTTGTCCGGAGTGAGCAAACGCGGCACCCATCGCGCCGACAGCTTTCTCATGCCCAAAATTGCATCCAGGATTTGACCCACGCGGTCTTTTGACATGCCTACTGTCTCAGCTATCTCGCGTATCTTCAATCGGCGGTCTGCCAATACGAGATCGTTGATTTTTATCACGTTATGCTCCGTGGTAGCCGTTTTCAGGGCACCTGGCCGTGGCTCATTAAAAACCGACGTGCGACCACGTTGAAACTCGTTAAACCAATTTTTGACGGTCGCCATCGAAGGAGAAGAGTCACCGTACACAGCGTCCAAGCGCTCTTTGATTTCGCTGCGCGATTTCCCTCTCAAAAACAAGAACCGAGTCACAGACCGATATTGCTCTTTCTCCATTTTTCTTAAATCCGCGGACACGTCCGATTCCACATGCAGTCAAAACAAAACTACGGGTCCGATTCGGCTGAAATTTCGACAGTAGCCGTCTACGAAAATGTACTACACGATAGTAAATTTCTCTTGCGATAGTGACGCCATCGAGCGGTGAGGCTAAGTACTTATCGGACTGCCCTCGCATTTAATTACGTTTTATTTCATTTTAATTAGATGGTATAATTCAAATTTTCAAATAATGGACAATTATTGTTTCTGTTATTTTGTTTTGTAAGCTTATTTTTAACACTTGTCATCTCCTTTCTCAAACATTTGTCCGGGTCCTCGGAGTCCTTGGCCAACGCTCCTAAAAAAAAATGTAATGTCATATGTTTAGAAATGCGTTTTACTTGTTTATTTGAATATTTACCTTTAAGAACTTCGTATAACCCTATACGGGATCTGAGGGACTATTTCCCGTTGGACACGTCCAAATTGTAGTTGCTTATAATGTCTTCCGCTATGGTAAGTTTGAACCGCTTTGACAGCGGTTCGCTTCAAATAATTTTTGATATTTTCTTTGTCTGCAAATAGAAATAAAAAAATAAAAATAAGGAAATGCAAAAAAAAGTCGGTCTTGCTCGATACTTACGTATAAACCGATATGCTCCGGGGTAAAGGAATTTTCGAATTCATCCAATTCTTCTTCCGTTTTTAACGGAAATGGTACCACGCCCGAAAAATCCTTGTCAGGAGCAAACGACACCTTTAAAATGGCGGTGGTTTCCGCCAGTTTGTCCGCCAAAATGTCAATCTTTGCATTACGACAGAGATTTCCCTGCGGATCTGGAGAACCTCTTCTGAATTTGTAATTTATATATACTACAAAAAAATTAAAAAAAAATCAAAATAGAATGAAAACAGTAATCGCCCTGATTTTTAGAAATTTGTCGTCAATGTCGGTTTATTTTATTAATAAGCGATAAATTTTCAAACAATACGGCCGAATACTATACTTTTTATACCCGTTACTCGTAGAGTAAAAGGGTATACTAGATTCGCCGGAAAGTATGTAACAGACAGAAGGAAGCGCTTCCGACCCCACAAAGTATATATATTCTTGATCAGGATCACTAGCCGAGTCAATCTAGCCATGTCCGTCTGTCCGTCTGTCCGGATGAACGCTGAGATCTCGGAAGCTATGGGAGCTAGGCTATTGAGATTTGGCGTGCAGATTCCTAAGCTTCTTACGCAGCGCAAGTTTGTTTCAGCAGAGTGCCACGCCCAGTCTAACGCCCACAAACCGCCCAAAACTGTGGCTCCTACAGTTTTGGTGCTAGAATAAAAATTTTAACTGAAATGTATTGTTCTCATCAATACCTATCGATTGACCCAAAAAAAGTTTGCCACGCCCACTTTAACGCCCACAAACCGCGATAGCCTGTGACGCCCACAATTTTTGTGCTAGATAAAAAATTTTAACTGAAATGTATTGGTCTCGTCAATACCTATCAATTGAAAAAATTGATTGATTGAAAAATTTGCCACGCCCACTCTAACGCCCATAAGGCTTAAATCTGTATACCGCCGGTAGGTGGCGCATTTTAATCTTGCTTTGCTGCTTGCATATCTCTATTTAGCTGAGTAACGGGTATCTGATAGTCGAGGTACTCGACTATAGCGTTCTTCCTTGTTTTATTTCTTATGTATACTTATTAATTAAAGTTTCTTAATTCTGAATAACTTATAATTATAGTTTTTATACAATCCTATAAGATTCCAGTTCGGCACCCACCACATAAGCTTGAAAATGCTCGCTAACATTTGAAACCTTAATTAAACATCAATTTAAGCGCATTTTAAATGTTATATGTTAAATTAAAGTTTAATGTTATATAGACATACTTATAAATTTTGTTTTCACGCTGGCACAGCCACTACACATACACACGCCTACGTACATACGTATGTGTGTACATACCCTTCAGTTCCAAAAAAACTTTCACTTGTGAATCACCTTGTGAATCCTGTGTGATATGTCCTCTTGCACAAGTGAAGAACAAGTGACACTCCATATAGACAATTGTATGGGATGTCCGCCTTTTTACAAGTGAAAATTCAAATGAAAAGTTTTCGAAGTCCCACGGGATTTCACTTGTTCCTTATATTCATTTGTCGTATGGCCTGTCACGTGCCGATGACACGTCCCACGTGAAATCACTTGTGAAATGCAGAATATTTCCAATGAGTTCTCACTTATGAAATCACTTGCATGTGACACGTCCCAAGTGAAATCACTTGTAAAATGAAGAATTTTTTCCATGAGATTTCAATTTTGAAAATATAGAATTTAAAATACATACATACGAGGGTGGTCCGATAAGTACATAGCCTCCAAAAGAATAACGAAAATTTTGGAAAAGTGGCGATTTATTTCTCATGATAATCTTCTTTTAGCTCGATACACTTGATCCAGACTTGACGTCTGAAAAATACGTTTTCTCAAGGTCTTCAAAATTGACCTCTGTGGCGGCGACGACCTCCTCATTCGACCCAAATTTCTGTCCAGCGAGTGACTTTTTCAAGTTTGGAAACAAAAATAAGTCACACGGGGCCAAATCTGAAGAATATGGTGGATGGGGTAGCAGTTCGTAGCCCAATTCGACCAATTTGGCCTTGGCGAGGGCGGAAGTGTGAGCCGGTGCGTTGTCATGATGGAAAATCACTTTTTTCTTGTGAACCCCAAAAGACGGTGGCAATCACCTTTCCGGCCAATGGGACAGTCGTCGCCTTCTTCGGAGCAGGTTCGCCGGGTAAAGTCCACTGTTTCGACTGTTCCTTGGTCTCTGGTGTGTACCAGTGGATCCATGTTTCGTCGACGGTCACGAAACGACGCAGAAACTCCTTCGGATTGCGCTTAAACAGCATCAAAAACTGCTCTGAAGTGGTCTCACGGTTGCGTTTGTTGTCCGGAGTGAGCAAACGCGGCACCCATCGCGCCGACAGCTTTCTCATGCCCAAAATTGCATCCAGGACATGACCCACGCGGTCTTTTGACATGCCTACTGTCTCAGCTATCTCGCTCATCTTCAATCGGCGGTCTGCCAATACGAGATCGTTGATTTTTATCACGTTATGCTCCGTGGTAGCCATTTTCGGGGCACCTGGCCGTGGCTCATTAAAAAACGACGTGCGACCACGTTGATACTCGTTAAACCAATTTTTGTTTTTTTTTTTTTTAATATTAAATAGTATTCGGCCGGATTTTTTGAAAATTTATCGTACTCAATATTTATAAAATAAATCGACATTGACGACAAATTTCTAAAAATCGGGGCGATTACTATTTTCAGTGTAGGGTTTTAAAACATACCTTTCAACACTGCCTTTTGTCGTTCAGTTGAATCTTTAAAAAAAAGAATAAAAATTACAAAATTACACAATAGCACACATTTATTAACTCACTAGAGACCAATGGGGTTTCTGTAAATAAAATATTGTGTTAATGCAGTCACTATGGATATTGAAACAAGAAAATTAATTTATTGTGTTTACACTTACCTTCCAAATCAAACTGGACTCGACGAACTATTGAATCTGGTTGCGACATACTAATTTTAAAATGTAAAAAAAAACAAAAAAATAATTAAATCAAGTAAAAAAATTATAAATTAATCAAATTATAAAAAATAAACAAAAATAAATGAAAATAATGATAAACAGAAAATAAACAATAATTGTAAACAAAGAAAATATTAGTAAATAGTTAGAATTAAATAAAATTTTAAAAAATAACCAAAAATTAAGGAAAATAATAATAAAGAATAAATTAACAATAATTGTAAATAAAGAAAATAAAAAGAAATAATAAATAAAATAATACAAATGCAGTTTTTTTTTTTTTGATACTCGAACCAAGGTAGGTGAATCTTCAAAAGATATTTAAAGCGCCGTCGCAATAAATATCCTCGACTCACAAGAAAATTACGCCTACAGACTAACACCTCCTTTACAAAAAAAACTAAAAGTTCAATTAAAAAAAAATGCAAACTTGGAACTGCTACTATTTTTTGCTAAAAAAGGAATGGCTACCGCTTTTCTCCTAAATTCCATTATTGAAAATCTTTTTATACTAGAAGGCACTTTTAAATTAACTAGATATATACCGATGCCAGAAGAATTCATTGGCTCAATAAAAAAAACTGTCCCTATCTTCCATTAATAAAAATGTCCCCTTCTAACTCTTAAAAAGATTCTATTTGAATTGGAACCTCATCGCCTACAAAAAAAAATTATCTGGTTTCTTACTAATTTTATCTGTTCTTCTGCTGGGGCTAGGTATTTTTCTTCGACTATCTTCCTAAATATTTGTTTTAAAGACTAGTACTCAGGTCGGCTAAGAGTTTCACTACTAGAAAAATCGTATTCTTTGTAGTGTGACCGAAGTTTTCTATGTTCACCCGCAATGCATGTGTCATGGTCTTACTGTCAAGCGGCTTGTTGTTGCCAAACGGAAAACAAATCAATTGGAGAAATTTAAAAAAGAAAAGACTGGTGGTGCACAAAGAAATCAAAATAAAAACAAGGAAGAACGCTATAGTCGAGTACCTCGACTATCAGATACCCGTTACTCAAAGGGAAATGGAGATATGCAAGCAGCAAAGCGAGATTAAAATGCGCCACCTACCGGCGGTAGACAGATTTAAGCGTTGTGGGCGTTAGAGTGGGCGTTGCAAATTTATTTTTGGATCAATCAATAGGTATTGACGACACCAATACATTTCAGTTAAAATTTTTTATCTAGCATGCAAATTGTGGGCGTCACAGGTTTTCGCGGTTTGTGGGCGTTTAAGTGGGCGTGGCAAACTTTTTTTTAAGTCAATCGATAGGTATTGATGAGAACAATACTTTTCAGTTAAAATTTTCTATCTAGCATCAAAACTGTAGGAATTACAGTTTTGGGCGGTTTGTGGGCGTTAGAGTGGGCGTGGCAGTCTACTGAAACAAACTTGCGCTGCGTAAGAAGCTCAGGAATCTGTACGCCAAATCTCAATAGCCTAGCTCTCATAGTTTCCGAGATCTCAGCGTTCATCCGGACAGACAGACGGACAGACGGACATGGCTAGATCGACTCGGCTAGTGATCCTGATCAAGAATATATATACTTTATGGGGTCGGAAACGCTTCCTTCTGCATGTTACATACTTTCCGACGAATCTAGTATGCCCTTTTACTCTACGAGTAACGGGTATAACAAGGAAGAACGCTATAGTCGAGTACCTCGCTAAGTGATACACTGACAATGTCTGGCTAAAACGTATGTTAGTGCAAGCGAGTCAACATGATCGAAGAAGACCAATTCGAATTTCGAATATATCTATTTCGCTTTCACTCACGTGATTGATGTCGCCATATTGCTATATCCTCTCTTTTTCGATGCCAAGGAATTTCCGAAAAGAGAGAAATCGAAAACTTGACTTGTTTTGGTATCAATATGGCATTATTTCATGGTAAAAATTACATGTGTCTAAAAAACATAAATTTACCATGCGCATATCAAATAAATAATTTTTTTTGTGTATCTGCAAAGTATCTTTTATGTTTGCTTACAATTCAAACTCCTGTACTTGGTCAAAAATGCTAGTCCTAAGTTTAATAATCAACATTGAAAAATGAAACCTAAATAAAATAAAAATAAGCCGTCTATCAAAAAATCAGCAGTAGGTTAAGGTTTTGAAAACCAAATTTCAGTTTTTTATTTGGCTCTCAAATGATAAAGCTTAGTACTCAGATCGGCTAAGAGTTTCACTAGTCTATGTAGTGTGACAGAAGTTTTCAAAGTTCACCCGCAACGCATGTAGCATGGTCATACTGTCAAGCAGCTGGGTTTGTTGCCAAACGGAAAACAAATAAATTGGAGAAATCTAAAAAGGAGGAGTCTGCTGGTAAACAAAGAAATTTAAATAAAAATAAATGGAATGTTTTACGAATGTATTAATTTATGTAAATAAGTAGTTTAAAACTTCCTTCTCGTCCCACGGATGCTTCGTCATCTTTCCCGCTCCACCGCAGTACAGCTCCGAGTCCCAATAGGCATATTGGACCTTGAGGAAGTGGGAGAACGGGGTTGATCCGCTGATGCGGCAGGAAGTCGCCCAGCATCCTAGCAGTGGCTGGCTATGGCTTCTCCAACTTTTCCTTAGCGGGCGCCCTATTTTCCTCCTCCCTATAAAAGCCAGCGGGTCTTCCAGCTCCGCTTAAGCTGCCAGGTAGCTGGTGGTGGTGGTGTCCGGAGTCCTAATGGGGAGGTTGTCGGAGATCGTTTTACTTGTGGTTCTGCTAAAAAGATACTTCTATTAGTTCAACGTAACCAAATTCTTTTGGCCAGATCTTACTTTCTTTGCAAGGACGCGCCCGGCAGGATGTCCATGTAGAGGTCGAAGTCCCACTCGGCATGTTCCTTCCCACTGGGATTCTTTGGTGGATCTCCTCCAGCACTTCGACTATTCTGCGAATTTGCCTCTTTTGTGGAATTGCTTCCTGTCGTTCAAATCCCACAATAAAGGGCATAAGCTTGGATTTGGAGTCCTATTTCATCTGCACTGACCTCCTGCATCCGATTTTGGGGTTTTCTTTCCATTTTTAATTTTTAGTTTCCACATCGCCTTTGCACGACACCGCCAAAGATTAGAAAATCACTCTCGAAAACTGGTATTTTTTCTGGTATTTCCTTAGCTTATCTGAGTACCGCGCTGAAAAACAGACCCGACGAAAAGCGTTAGTCGCGTATTTGCCTTTCGCTCACTCCTATAGTTAGCTCGCGGTATTCGTCGATCTGAGTACTAGGCTTAAGGAATTTATTTATTTATTTATTTATATAATGCTAACAAATAATTATAAACTAAATGCTAACAGTGGTCATGAGCTATAGCAGCTATAGGCCTTCAGCTCTTCTGGTTTAGTATAATTTCATTTTGTTTTCTTTTGTCTATTTGAATCTAGCTTATTTTCTACATGGTTAGATATTTACAGTGTTTTATTTTTATGCTTATTTTTGATTTTATTTTTATTTTATTTAAATTATATTTTGTAACGAACTGATTTTGTGTGTCTGCTCGCTACGAGATTCGTGCGGCTAGCTCAGAAGATTGTGCGTTCGTCCCACCAAATTTATATGACGTGATTGCCCGTAGATCAGTGACAAAACAAAGGGTTCAAATGGTAAAAGTGGGATTAATTCTCGTGGTATTAGTACAGCGGGTGTGTGGCTGGGCTGGCTTCGGTATCTCTTGGCTCTGGTTCCGCCGGCTGCTGGCGCTCCTCTTTCTGGCTCCTCGACGCGTTGACTCGTCCTCCTCTGGATCCTGGGTCTCGGGACGCTCGTAGTGGCCGCCTCTGCTTGCTTGCCGACGCGTTGCCTCGGGGTCGCTTGTTGCGCCTTAGACCCGCAGAGAGTTCGGCCTTGTGGGCTTAGGGAAGCGTCACCGTTCTCAGACTAGGGTGAACAAGCCTTGCTCTCCAGGCCGACGCCTTTCGAGGCAGCACCTGTCCCTTGCTCTGTCCCGCACGGTCCCGCTAGGTTCTTGCTCAGTTCGCGCTGACAGTCAAGGCTGTCGCCAGGAGGCTGTCTAGCGGTTCACTTCGATTTACGCCTAGCGCAGACGAACGTTCCACCCGGCTTCACCCTAATGCGTGACGGCGATGGTAACGTGGCTGCCGGAAATGTCTGCTGGTGTCGCTGTCGATGTCCTCTGCGCTGTTTCTGACCAGTATCTCGTCGTTCTGGCGCTCGGGGAGCTGGGCGGTCGCTGCTCGGGAACTTCGCCGGTAATCGCAGGGCTCTCCAGGCTGCCGCCTCTTGAAACCGCAAATCGATCTACCGCTCGTCCGTCAGGTCCTGCTTGGTCGGGCAAGGTACGCTGGGTCGCAGGCAACTTTCCTCCCCAAGCTGACGGCTCTTCGTCGTAGGACTCTTTTGCTTGTCTCTGACAGAACCGCCGGGCGACTCTCCAGGGTGTGGTCGTGACAAAACGCCTTGACTTATTCGCGTGATGCCTTCCAGAACTCAGCCACCTGTGTCTCAATTCGGAGATTCCTGATGTCCTAATCCCGAACGTCTCGACGTGGCGATCTTGCTCCTTGTATGCTTCCCACGGCGCTGCTTCCGACGACTCGCTTGGTTGTAGCTCCCTCGTAGATTATTTGCTTGACTGACTGTTTACTTGGTACTTTAACTGATCTTGAAGGTTTGACTCCTCGTGATCGACTGATCCAGCTGCCAGCGCTCTGCGGCCTTATATAGGGCTTCCGGGAACCGTTATTTCCCATTTGCGCACGGCCCCCTGGATCTCTCCACTCTGGGTCCAAAGTCCGTGCCTCCTGGTTGACCCACTTGTCCTTCACGAACCGCTTTCCATCGATGCTCCGCCCACTGCTGCAGTCCCGCTGATTCCCGTGCCGCTTGTGGCACGCCTGTGTGCCGCTCCACTGTCGAGATGTGGCACTTCCCCTCCCGGTCCAAAGTTCACGGGAGAGTCCAAAGTCCGGTGGAGTTCCGTTATCCCCTTTTGCACACGGCACTCTTGCTCTGCCCGCGAAGTCTCCATTCTCT